GAGGAGGAGGAGGAGGAGAGGGAGGAGGAGGAGGGAGGGGGGAGGAGGAGGGGGGGAGGAGGAGAGGGGGGAGGCTTTGAGCGCCCCTGGAGAACGAGGGGGGGGGGGGGGCGGACGTCGGCCTCCCCAGCCGCCCACCCCCCTCCAAGGGGGGAGGGAGTGGGTTCGAACTGGGGGAGGGGGGGGGCCTGTCCGAGGGAGGGCGGGGTTCGAACCGCGGGGGACGCGGGCGGAGGGGGGGGGGCCGACTGGCCTCCCCCTCATGGAATCCGACTAGGGCTCAACAGTCCTACTCACATAAAGTCCTACTCTATCTGGATCCAGCCAGCGCTGATTCAATCTTACACTAATTGGTTCCAGCTCTGCTTTGGTCATACTAAGGCTCGGTGCAGCTCTACTAAACCTGGATCCAACTGTACCAACTTCTTAGTCGGGGTCGATCCATCTCTAATTGAGCCCCTCTCTTTCGGGAGTGTCGGTTGGGGCGGGTGGGAAATTAAATGAATGGTGCTCGCTTGCGCGCTCGCTCGCTAGCTGGAGCAAGCATGCAATCGAGCGAGTGAGGGAAGATGGGAGTCGGCCTTCTCGCTCGCTCGTTCGCTCGAGCAAGCGCGCGAGCGTGCGAGCGAGTCAGGCGGTTCGGGTCGGACGGGCAGGACATCAAATGCATAGTGTTCGCTTGCTCGCTCCCTCGCTCGCTAGCTGGAGCAAGCATGCGAGCGAGCGAGGGAATGTGGGAGTCAATCTTCTCGCTCGCTCGTTCGCTCCAGCAAGCGAGCGAAAGAGTCGGGCGGGTCGGGTTGGGCGGGCGGGACACCAAATGCATGGTGCTTGCGTGCTTACTCGCTCGCTCGAGCAAGCGAGCAAATGAGCACGAGAATGAGCGAGGGAATGCGGTGGCCGGTCCTCTCGCTCGCTCGCTCGCTTGCTCGAGCGAGCGAGCGGCGAGAGTTATGGGGCTCACAATGCTCGATCCAGCCCTAAGCCGCCACAGTGCCGCTGGGCACGGAGAGGGCGTGTCCTCAGAGGAGGAGGAGGAGGAGGAGGAGGAGGAGGAGGAGGAGGAGGAGGGAGGAGGAGGAAGAGGAGGAGGAGGAGGAGGAGGAGGAGGAGGAGGAGGGAGGAGGAGGAGAAGGTCCTGGGCCCGGTCCTCTGAGCTCAAGCCTCACCCCTGAAGAGTCCTTACGGGGCCCAGACCCCTCGCTCTCAAATCTCCCGGGGCTTCCCGCGCGCCCCCTGGGGCTTCCCGCGTGCCCCCCTGGGCTCAGGGAAATGTTGTCGCATGAATTTGTCGGGGCCGAGGGGGCCCCAAGACGGGCCAAGAGGGCCCCAAGAGGCCCCCCAAGAGGGCCCCGAGTCACCGAACGATCGCTGCAAGATGCTCAAGATGGCCCCCAGACGGCCCCAGGGGCCTCCGAGACGCCCCAAGAGGCCTCCCTAGAAAGCCCCAAGAAGCCAAGATCATTGTTTTCCTTCGGTTATGAAGGATTTAGGCGTCCTCACCTTTTCGGCTTTCCGACCCCAAGAGGCCTTTAAGACCACCACAACAAACCCCAAGAGGCCCCCAAAAGGGCCTCAAGACTGCCTAAGATCCCCCCTAAACGGCCCAAGAGGGCCCCAAGGCGGCCTCCAAAGGGACCCAAGAGAGGGACCACGGACCGAAAATCCGAGCCTTCCGCCCCAAAGGGCCCCCAGGAGGCCCCCAGAGGCGCCCAGGAGGCCCCAAGAGGCCCCCAACAGGTCCCCAAGAGGCTCCAAGGGGCCGCCAAGAGGTCCGAAAGATGCATAAAGAGGCCCCCAAGCGGCCCCCAAGAGGTCTCCAAACTGCCTCCAAGAGACCCCCGAGAAGCCTCCCACGAGATCCCAACGAACATTCAATTGGCTCCATACCAACAACCCAGGCAGGGTGGCGGAATGGGACGACGGCCATTAAATTAAATCCTACTATAGCAAGATCCAGTTGTGATTGAATCCTACTAGGGTTCGATGCAGCAGTAATAAAATTCTACCGAGGCGCGATCCAGCCAAAACCGCCGCCTACTACAGATCGATCCTCGTCGTCGTCGTCGTCGCCGTCGTCGTGGGGGCGGGTTCGACACTCATATCTGCGAAGGCCCCCGACAGGACTGAGCTTTCCCCCGCACCCACTCGCGGAGGCGCGCGGGAAGGGGGAGCGGGGCAAGGGGGGCAGCCTGCGCAGCAGGCAGGGGGGCTGCTCAGAAGGGCTCGGAGGGCTAATGTGAAGGGGCCCACACACAAATAAAACACAAATAAACAATATGGCGGAATGAGCGAAATGTTTGAATCAACAAACACAAAATCCCAGGATTCCCAGTATTTTCTTAATTTTCCTGGATGTTCGTCTTCCCCTCTACCTCTCATATTTGCTGCATGCTTCTGGGAAACGACGGCTAGTTGTGTCCGTGTGCGTGTTTCCCCCTCCTGATACTTACACAGCGCGAGGGGATCAGAAAGAAGCGCTCGGTCAAGCGCCGTCCCCGTGAGCCCGCTGTGCCCCCGCAACTCTGCCCGAAACCACTCCCCACTCACCCGATCGCAGAGGCACCCCTCGTGCTGGGGTCGGCGAGCAAGGGGCGCTCTGCAAGTTTTCCCTCAGGAAGGCCCACACGTATCCCCAGGACCGCATGCCCCCAGTCCAGTGAGGGGTTGCAGCGGCCACGGATTCAGCCACGGCGTGCGCCAAAACCCGGCCCTCGCGCGTTCCGAGGTGGGCCCCGAGGGCGTCTGCTCTGGGGTGCGTTCCGGGCGGTAACAAACGACAAAACGCGGCGTGGCCAACCCCCCATTCTAAAAAATGCCACGACAATGGACACTCTAACAATCCTATCATTGATTTAAAGATGTGTTGAACATGTGTGAAGCATTTTTAAAAAATGTTTCAAACCTGTTTTTAAAATGTTTCACGACATGTTTGAAACATGTTTTAGACATCTAGAAATTCTTTGGCAGCACGCTTCCTCCATTAGTCGGCTATACGCAAGAGTGACCCTGGGTAACAGTGACCTTTGGTGCGCGGCTTTTTGGGGGCCGCGGGGAGACCAAACCTGGGCGCGCAAGCCGCTGCTCCTGCTTCGTTTTCAGCCACCTGGGGGCCCATCTGTGCCCGCACCAAAGGTCACTCCGGCGAAAGGTCACTCTTACGTCTAGTCGAATTAATCGACTTCCACAACCCCATTCTCCCCGGCAGGCCTGAGCTGCATCGAAGCGCCAGGCCGCATCGAATCGGGAACGCCTCGGATCGCCAGCGACTCGCCCCGAAGCGAACAGCCACGAGCTCGGAGCGCCGCGCCTGGCCGCAGGCCGGCCCTCTGGCCGCGGGCCGCGGCATCGGACCGCAGCGCACCGCCTCGGGCTCGCTGCCCCCGCCGGCGAGCACGTCGCGTCGGGTTCGGGAGCGGCCAAGAGGGGGGGGTCCAAGAGGGGGGGGTGCAAATCATGACCGGCGGCATGTGCGCGGCCCAGCGGGGGGGCCAGGGACGTAACGGGATCAGAAGAGGCGCCATAACATCTGGGGAAATATCATGGCCCCCGCCATGATAGTTATCCACCCCCCCCTAGTCATCGCCCCCCTCTTTTCCGCCCCCGACGGGTCGGATCGTGGGCGGCCCGGCCAGGGCACGGCCCCCCCTGAAGGGGCCCTGGGACACACAAATAAAGACACACACAAATAAAAGGATCCCCCATGTTTTCCCAATATTTTCTGTGTTTCTGTCTTCCCCCCCACTTTCCATATTTTCCCACATTCTCCGGGGAATCGACGATCAATTGTGTCTGTGTGTTTTTTCCCCTCCTGACCCCCTGGCCGCCCCGACGAGCACGGTGCGGCTCCCGTATCGTTTGGTCGGCCCTTGCGAATCGAGGCTAGTCGACGCTACATCAACGCTGACCGACGCCAAATCGACGCTGATCCACGCTGACCGACGCAAAATCGGCGCTGTCTCAGCGACTCCCAGACGCTCATCGCTTAATCGACGCCAAAGACGGAATTGAGAGGGCACACAAGGCCCCCATGCTTTGCTACCGAGCAGACCCGCCGGGGGGCACTCACGGGGGGGGAGGCGAAGCGAAGCGAAGCGAATGCTGGAGTGGTGCGCGTTCCACTGGGGAGCCCGCCCGTGCCCGCTAGGCCATGGCGTGGAGGCCGTGGCCTCAAACATGTGAGCTGCATGCCTGGCCGCCGCTTCGGCAAGGGTTCGCGGAGGTCCTCTGGAAGGCTTCGGGGCAGGGCTTCGCGCAGGTCCGCGGCGCACTGGCGGCTTTCTCACCGATCCCCAACCCCACCGGCGTGGGCTGGGCCCCGCTGGCCGATGCCCCCTCCTTCCTGATAAGGGATATAGGCTGCTCTCTTCGGATTTCGAGGGGCACATCCCCAACACTGAGGTGGTGAGATGGTGGGGCTCGGGATGTCGACGGGGATGGGGATAGGGATCGGTGAAAAGGTACTGATCTCTGCAGAACTCTGACTACCTACCAGACCACCCCAACCCAACCCGAAGACCCGAACTTGACCCGACATTCGGGTTGTGGGGGGTTATGGGCTCCATGTGTTGTTTCAACGTTTCCCGACCCCTCCCCCCACTGGAAATGGAGGGCAAATCGGGGCCTTCGGCTTGGGTTACACGTCGGCCGCAAGAAGCAGGTAAAAACATGAAGCAGGAAGGCGTTGAAAGCAGACCGGGCCCAGGCCCTCACAGCAAGAGCACATCGATTACTGAAGTGGGATTCCCACTTCAGTACTGGGATCAGGCGCCTTCAAGGCGCTTGAAGCAGAACTGGGATCTGGGAATCTAAAAGCACCTACTGCCAACGACCGACGTGCAGGGGTGGGCTGGTGGGTGGTGCTCCTCCGTCCTCCCGCGGCCTCGCCCGCCCTTCGAGCGCGCAGCGCTCCCCGAGGTGCGGGCGACGGGGCCGAGCGCCGCAGGGGCCGTCGGGGCCGCGCGGCCGGCCGGCAGAGCGAGGCGCACCGGGGCCGGCGCCGGATTGGCGAAGGCATAGCCCGCGGTGCTGTCAGGGGCCGCCTCGTACGTGCCCTGCGGGGGGAGTGCAGCGAGCTCTGTATCGGCGGCGAGCGAGGGGGGGGAAACGAGGGAGGGCCCTCTCCGAGGCGGCGGGGCTTCGCAGAAGCCCTCGCGCCTTCTGAGAGGTTTGCTTGGTCGTCGGGGAAGGCCTAGAGAACTTCTCGGGGAAGGCCAGGGGCCTTTCGAACCTTCTGTGAAGTCCTTCTCCTTCTCACTTCCCCCCCTCGCTCGCCGCCGACTGCATGAACGCGACGAGAACTTCCACAAGCGGGTCTTGTCTGACGGTCCTTGTCATGTGCAGCTCTCTGCGGCCTTCCCAGGAGAGTGCTCGGTCCATGGAGAGGTTCTATGTGGAGGAGGCGGCTTGTCTCGAGACAAGTGGCAACTTCTCTACACAAAAGCTTAATTGCAAGCTCCGGCGGACCAACTCGGGGGAACTCGAAAGAGAAGGGCTTCAAGCAAATACAGCTGAAAGATCTACAGAGGCTCCCATGTTGGAAATTTCGGAGCCCTCACGGGAACACTATGCAAGTTTCATGGCGAGGTCAGCCGAATGCAGCAAAGATGCTGGGGCGTTCTGACACGCAGCATCCCATTCAGCAGAAAGCTGCGCCCACCCCCAGAGAGAGTCCGCAGTGGAGGCTGAGTTGCGTCAGCCGCACGCACCACCCACTGTGCACACCAGCGCTCTAGCACACAGCCGACTTCTCGTACCCTGACTTGCTTGCGAGGTGTCGCAACGACCGTGAGATCTCCAGAAGAACCAGAAGCTTGAAAGGAGGACCACCAGTATACAAGAAAATCCGCCACCGTGCCTTGTGCGCCCTGAGGCGTGAACGAATGCTAAGGCCTGCCTGGCAGGGCTTCTGCAGTCTAACAAGGGACACCCCGCCTCCCCGCTGGCGTCCAGCTGCGTGCATCGCCACCCACCCCCCCTCCCGAGGCCGCGATCCCTCGCAAGAAAACAATGGATCCGCGCTCCCGAGGCCACGATCCCTCGTTGAAAACGATGGATCCGCGGCCTGAGCTTCCATGACGGCCCATGCAGGCAACCAAGGACACCAAGACGGCCCAAGATGCTTCGAAGAAGCCGAAATCATGGAGTCCCCCTGGGTGCTTGAACGTGGTTCGCATTCTCGCCGTTCGGGGTCCCGTCAGCTCGAGACGACCCAAGAAGCCTCCACGATGGCCCCAGGATGGCCTAAAAGGTCCCACGATGGGCCACGAGGCATCCAAGATGGCCCCCAGACGGCCCAAGAGGGCCTCCCGTGGGACCCAAGACGGCCGTAGAAGGCCTTTTCTGCGGCCCAAGACGGCCCCACGGAGACCCCCAGACACCCACCATACGGCCAGGAGGGCCCCAAGACAGCCCAAAAGAGCCCCAAGACGGCGTAAGAGGGCCCCAAGGCAGCCCAAGACTGCCTCACAAGAGGCCAAGACGGCCCCAAGACGGCCCAAACGAGTTCCAGGTGAACTCCTCAAATAAATAAGGCGAAAGGCGTCACGTGTACCAGCCTTCCTCTTCCTGCCCCACCTCCTCCTCCTCCTCCTCCTCCTCCTCCTCCTCCTCCTCCTCCTCCTCCTCCTCCTCCTCCTCCTCCTCCTCCTCCTCATCATCATCATCATTATCATTATCATCATCCTCCTCCGCCTCCTTCTCCTCGTCCTTCTCCCTCTCCTGCTCATCCTGGTCATCATCCTCACCACCATCACATCCTCATCCTCATATTAAGCCTTCTCCTCCTCCGCCTTCTCCTCCTCCTCCTCCCTCATCATCATCATCATCATCAGCATCATCATCATCATCATCATCATCATCATCATCATCATCATCATCAACATCACCAACATCAACATCATCATCATCATCATCATCATCATCATCATCATCATCATCATTCATCATCATCATCATCATCATCATCATCATCATCATCATCATCATCATCATCATCATCATCATCATCATCATCATCATCATCATCATCATCATCATTCGCAACAACAGCATCACCATCACCATCACCGTCACCACCACCATCGTCGTCATCATCAGCAGCATCAGCACCAGCAGCAGCACCATCACCATCACCAGCATCACCATCGACATCATCACCAACACCGTCATCATCATCGCCGTCGTCGTCATCACAATCATTCTCACCTCGCCTCATTTCACCCCACCTCACCTCACCGCCATCACCACCACCATTACCATCATCAGCATCATCATCTCCATCATCATCACCATCAATATCATCATCTCCGTCATATCACCACAACGACCACCACCAGCATCATCAACAGCAACGCCATCAGCATTATCATGAACACCTTAATCATCATCGTAAGAATACTCACCTGTATCACCGTCATCAGCACCACCATCATCATCACCACCATCAGCATCATCATCCGCAACAGCATCAACATCATCATCATGATCATCATCATCATTATCAGCATCAGTAGCATTAGAATGATCATCATCAGCATTATCATCATCATCATCATCATCATCATCATCATCATCATCATCATCATCATCATCATCATCATCATCATCATCATCATCGGCATCATCATCATGTGTAGCAGCATTAGCATCAGCATCCGCATCATCACCATCACCATCACCATCACCAGCCGTTGGCGACACAGCCCTCGTCCGCCAGCGCACGCGAGCGCGGACAGCAGCAGCAGCAGCAGCAGCAGCAGCAGCAGCAGCAGGAGCAGCGCCATGGCGAGGCGCGCCATGGTTCCAGCGGGTTCGCTTTTCGACTGCCCGGAATCGCTCTGCGGCCGCCTCGAATCTGAGTCTGAATTTCCACGGGGAATGGAAGGTCCTTGGGATGGGTCCGGGGCGCGCACAAAGGGGCACAGCAAACCCGTATCATACCGATGCGCGGTAAAGATGCACGGCTCTTGGAGCCCATGTGAATGTTTTGTCGAACGAGGCTGGCCAGCGAAAGTGGCAAAGGATGGGCCGAGGAGGCAAGAATGCAAGGATGCCCTTGGGAAGGTTGCCCATCCTTACCATACGGGTTGACTGTAGGGGGACGCGACAAGGTTTCTCAGAAGGAGGCTGTTTCTGAGAAGCCTGCCCCCCTCCCCCTACCCTTGGGTCGGGTATGTCCTCCTACACGCAGGTTTTGGAAGAAAAACAAAGCATAGTCCAAACAATAAACGAAAATAAGTCCTAAGAGAGCCGGTCGTCCCCTGACTATTTCCCCAAAGCTCGGAAGTTTAAAAATTCTTACTTGGTCTGACCCTCTGACCATGCCTACGGGTTTTTCGCCCCCGGGCCGCCCCGGGCCGCCCCGTTGTGGATTGTACGGGGGTGGCTGTATGGATACAGAGAAACACGAGGTACAAATAGGGGGATCCGTGCTAAAGGACAGCACGTTCTCTATCCTTTTACGGAGGCGTGGGCGCGTCCGTCACCGGCGCGCCATGATAGCTCAAGGGCTTTTGTGAACCGATATGGCGGCACACAAGGGAGCACAGAGAGAGGCGCAGGAGGAGGAGAGGCTGACAGGGGCTCAGCAACCACAGCTTCTACCATACTTGCAGCCGAAACGCCGCCTCGCCTCAAAAGATGGAATTCTTCCCTCAATAGATACCATCGCAATTTCAAGTACTATCAGGGCCTCAGTGACGCGCAGCTGGTACAGTTCCACGAACACGCGGGACTTGAGAGCATCTCTAAGAAAGACCCCTGAAGGGATTGTCCGAACCGGGGGGGTGTCCATGATGAGGTCTTCCGACTTCGCTGCATCCGTCGCCTGCCCCATCTGATCCATGAAACTCTGCAGTTCGATTCCACGTTAGTCGCACGGTTTGCAGGTGTGCTGCAGGTAACGATCCGCCGCACTGTGCTCCTTGGTTTACTGAGGAACCCATCTCTCGAACCAGCTTGACCTCGAGAGTCGGGGGGTCGGAGTCCTCGCTCCCTTCACCTGAGTACGCGTGTACACTCGGAAACGCTGTCGGGATGGCCTTCGCCGCGAAGTACATCCTGACCGCGCGATTCCAGATCCTGTACCATCCAAAGACTTGCTCCTTCGCCTGTAGCTTGTCCCAGATTTCCCTCATCGTCGCAGCGTGGATCCATAGCGCATGACGTAGAGCCGCATTCGGTCTGGCACCACTATCTGTGGACATGCATCTTGGGGCAGCCTGCACAACGGTCGCGATCCACCTGCAGCTCGAAGATGCAAGAGCACAGGTTCATCTCAGGGCTGACGTCAGACGAAACACGCACCACGCAGTGAGCGCAAGAGGTGTGGCGAGTTGTCCTTTCGCAGAAACTGCCGTATAAATTTTCACAGCGCGAAGGTCCTGGCTTCAATTCGAACAGGCCCTGTTTGCTCCAGGTAGATGCGAGCGCTGCCAAGTCGGCACCGTGGAATGCAGTCTCGATGTGGGCCGCCTTCTCGTTGAGCTCCTCGTCGCGCTGCATCTCCCCAGCGCATATCGGCGCCATGTCCATCGCCCACCACTGCCCGGTCGGATACGCAAGTGGCCCGTTGACGTCAGGAACACTGATGAGTCCTGAAGAATGCCCACGGGCAAAGCGGGATCTTCTCGGGACGAGGGCCTCCAAAATTGAGATTCCAAAACCAACGCGGCCAAAACGCTCATTGTGAAAGGGGCGTCGAGTAGGTGGCCCCTCGCCACGTCGACCCGGTGGCCCGTCTTCCACTGGTCGCTCGTCATCTGGTTGAAGACCCTCACGTTCTTCCTGGGCAGCTTATAGGCCTTGCTCCAGTGGGCACTGATGTACTTCTCTATAGGTCCAAGAAGCACCTCACTCTTCTCTGCCGGAGGTCCTCCCAGTCCTGGAGCAGCGGCGCAGTGATCAATAGTCACTACAGCCTTCATGGCCTCGGAGACGGACCCGCCCGCCGGCGGAGGATTCTCGAAAAAGCCTTCGAGGATCCCCGCTGCACCGTTCAACTCGCCAAGGTTCTCCAGCTCGCGTGCCACTTGTTCTCCTCCGCCTGCCTCTC